TTAAAAGTTATTCATAATTTCAAGAACTATTTTCACTTTAAAATGCTCTTTGAATTCATATATGCATCGTTTTGTGTATGAAATAAACAAAATATTAATGAATATTTGTAATTCCAATCCAAGTTTAGGTACTACTTTTTTCTCAGCATCATTTCCGGAACACTCTTCCTTACTTCTATATATAGCTACCATACTTATAATCTTAAAAACCCAAATTAAATTCTATTGTATCAACACATTTACTATTTTCCCGTTTTGGCCATATAAGTTGTCTTCATATTACTATTATGAAATCATGCACATGCACAGTTCTTCTGGATTATCTCCTAAGAAGAGCAGCTGCTCCAAACAGGATTGCTGGATCAAAGGTTAGCAACAAGTCTGGTTCCAAGTACCATGGAGAAAGCACGCTCCACCCTGTCTCCCACTGAATGTAACTACAAAACCTGGGTAGACTGCATGGAGCCACTATTTGAGGGCCCTGAAAAGTACATAGCAGCAGTCATTGAAGAAAACGAGAATTCAAAGTACCACAGAATTGTGAGTTTATCATTTGTATCCCCTGCAGTTCTCCAGACATCACTCGACCTGACTCTAATTGATAATTGTACAATTCCCAACGGTCCTGTGGCAAATCCCCTCTCCTCAAAGTTCAAAGCATCTATGGAACTTTCTACACGATAGGCCATATCCTGTGTCCTAAAAACACATCTTAACAAATGTTAAAGATTGAAAACATATAAAATGTTATCTGACAATAATGAAATTAACCAAAAATCAATAACAGGAAAATTTCTACATATTTGGAAATTAAACAGCACACAGCACACCTCTAAATAATTTGTGGGTCAAAGAGAAAGTCTCAAAGGAAATTAGAAAATATTTTCAGCTGAACAAAAACAAATATACAACATAGTGCTTCTGGGGGAACTTACGGCATTAAAAGTTTTTATTGGAAAAGAAGAAAGGTCTCAGACTGATATTCTAAGCTTCCACCTTAAGACACTAAAAAAATAAATAAATAAAGCAAAATAAAACCACAAACTGAGTGTCTTAAAATGCTTTTTCTCTCGGTTCTGGAGACCACAGGTTCGACATTAAGGTGTCACCAGGGTTTGTTCCTTCTGGAAGACCTTCTGGGAGAATCCGTCACTCCAATCTCTGCTTCCATCTTCACATGGCCTTCTCTCCATGTGTCTGGGTCTGTTTCTGTCTCTTATAAGGACCCCCTCATTGATTTGGGGTCCACCCTAATCCAGTAGGATCTCATCTCAATGGATACCTTACTTATATCTGCACAAACCTTATTTCCAATTAAAGTCACATTGTGAGTTTACACCTGAATTTGGAGAGTTAGGAGACACTATTTAACCTACTATAGAGAGAAAAAAAAATTTTTAATCTATGAACATTTTTTAGTGAATGTAGGCTCTTGATGCCCTGATTTAATTACCAATGATCATTTTCTAAATTATCATGATTGTTTACCAATAATTCATTTCTTTGTTGAATCTTTGACCCAAATATTTCAACTAAAAACCATTTACTGGAGTAGCAAACAGAGCAAAGCATTTTTGGTACAATCCATTTCTTGGAGATTCACTTGAAAATACACTTTCAATATTCAACAGAGATGGTGATTGAAGCCACCATCTGCACCTTTATTGATACAGAAGATTTAAAAAATACTTTCCTGTTTAGATTGAATATTTCTAGAACAATTTGTTTCGGAAAATGACCTCTGTTTGGGAAAGTATCCTATTCAAGTTGAGTTATTAGGTTATAATTTGTTATAGGTGTAAAATGTCTGTGCTTTCCCTAATGTTCTTTAAAATATGTTTTTCTCTTTTAGAATGAATTCTGGAATATATACAAAGGTGAGATGTTTTCTATTTTAACCTTAAGTGAGAGGGGTTCATTAGGATATTTAAGTTGGGAGAAATTGTGTTTGAACTTTGAAAATGCTTGCTGAATTGCCTTTCTGTTCCTGTTTAAATCCTATGTATTTAACTTGTTCCGTCTGAGCATTTTCATAACAGTTATTGTAAAATAGTTTTTATAGTAACTTTACACTAATCCTAATGTTGCCACTTACACATAGATTTAAATCAGTATATTCTCATTTGAGAATACCAAATTTAGTGATAATATTTAAAATCCAAGTATATTAGGAAAAAAATAGAGTCTGAAAGATTGGATCCTATAATAAGGTAAGAATCTTGAGTCAACCCTTATACCACCTGAAATGGCATTAATCCTGACTAATGTTTATCCTGGCAACACCATTCAAATTTCTCAAAATGACTATTGGACTTACCTCTAAATTAGATTGTACAAATGCACCAAGAAATGTGAAGTCCCGTGTTGGTGCTGGGCAGTTGTCTCTGCATTCTCATTTTACCCCCAGAGCATTTGGAAACAGGAACTCTAACATCTCTGTTGTCCAGTGTCAGACAATCACATGTCTTCCCCCTTCCAGATGGTCCCACATAGTCGCCATCCTAGAGCTCTTCACTCTAATGTAAAAATGCTGTCAAACATTTCAGCAAAAACTGGAAAGCTCAGTCAATGTTCCAGTAAGATAACAGCATCGCGTACAAAGAGCCACAAAAGGTGAGGATACAGTGAAGTTCAGTTAGGAGAAATTGTTTACAGGGAAACAGGAAGAAGTCCATGTTCATTCGAATTATCTGAAAAATGTGTGCCAAGATCAACACAGCAAAGTCATTCCCATGGTGATGGAAATTGCCTGCAAGCTTCAGTTTCCAAACCCTTTCTTTGCAGATGGTGACCAGTGTGAAAGCAATCCCTGCCTGAATCAGGGCAGGTGTAAGGACGGCCTTGGGGAATACAACTGCACTTGTCAGGAAGGATATGAAGGCAGAAACTGTGAATTACGTGAGTTCCTCTTCTTGGTAGGCCTTCAAGTCCGAGTTACCTGAAGAATCCAATGTGGGAAAGAGGGAAAAAGTCAAAATGTCCAAGAGAACAATCAC